CTCCAGCTGTGCTGATTCTATTGCACTGGATAAAAGTCACAGGCATGGTTTGGAAAATAGGTTTAGATAACATGGTGACATTTGCATTGCCATTTTAATACACATTTTGAACATTTCCTTGTAAATAGTGTATTAAAGATGTGTGCCTTAAATTTCAGCTAGATTAGGGCTGTCTCTACCTGGTTGATAAATGTGCCTAAAGATTTTTTTTTTCCCCACTCATCATTCTTTTGCAGCTGCATTTCCATGGTCATTCAGAAATCAAGTGGAATAGCTGAGAATAAGTGGGATAAATGTTTAAATTGAGAGTCTCCATAACTCTTCCTGATTCTCTACTGGGAGAGAGCAGCAGCAGCGCAGGGGGAAGAGCAGACCAAGAATGGAATTTGGGATTTTTTTACAGTTTTAAGAAATGTGGGACTGAATACAGAATCACAGAATCAGGGGAATCTGGTGTATTCTGTGACACACTGCTGCAGTGCTGTTTGCACCAGGAAGATGTGAACTGAAGATATAGATAGTGACACACAAGGAAATAAAGGATTATTTTGGAGGAGGAAGAACTGTAGCCTCAGCAGATGCTGTTTTAGAGTGGAAATTTTATCTGAGTTAAGGGAGGCTGAGCAAAAACAACTGTGAGATGTACTTGTGTGGGTTTAAGCTGAAGCACAGGTAGCTCAGGTTAACCACAGTGAAATACTGAACAGACTAAGGGAGTCATCTTCCAGGAGCAGTGTTGGTGAGGCTGACATTGACCCTGTTTCTTTCCCCTGGATAACAGCCTGTGAGATGTAAATACATCCAGGCCTTTCTCCTTTGTCATCTTCCCATCCATCTAAGTTTACTTGTCAAAAAATCTTTTATCTCAGCTTTTTTAAAATTTAATGTCTCAGAAAAGAATCTGTTCTTTTGTCTTAAAATTTATTTTGTATTGTGTGTATTTTATAGTTTTGTGTCTAACCTGTGGGGTTTTTTCCTTAAATTAAAAATGAAGAATAGTTTTTTGGATATATTCACTTAAATACTTCTGTGTCCTCAATTCTGCCTAACTCCTTATGTTCTGTTAAGTTCTTAGTATTTGTTACAGAAATCTGAGGCAAAACTGAGCCAGAACTGAACTAGCTCATGAATGTCAAAATATTCCTGCAAAGCACAGTATGGAGATGAGCTGGACAGAGCTGAGGGGCTGCAGCCATGGGAAGCATCCCTCCATCCCTTCAAAAGGGGTGGTAAAGGAATTGTTTTTCAATTCCATGCAGGACTCTTAGGACAGCTTAGTAACAAAGGGACAGTCCCTGCAGAGATCCAGACTTCAGGCTGGGAGCCTTCCTGCTCCAACAGGAATCCAGTCTAACCCAACGGGAGCTAAGCAAGAGGCAGCTGTGATCTCAGTGCTTCTCCAGTGAGAACCCATTTCCCAGATTATGTCAGTAATTGCCATCCTGATGATCCCACTTCTAAAAGTTTCTTTTATGTTACAGCAATTAACATGTAAAGCTGATTTTTTTTTCCCCATGAGCCTTTTTCAAGTGGTATAAATTCCTATAAATCACTTAAATAGGAAGCTCAGAAGTGTCATCTGAATTTCCTTGCCTTAGTCATTCCCTTCTCAAATAACTCCCTTGGTGTTACAGCTCTTAGAATTTGCTTTCACTTACAAAAAGTTTGTTCGAAGGGAAAACCCAGACACTATTTTAGCAATCCAGTATGAGGAAAACAAGTAACTTTAACACATCTATTGGTCCCTATTCAATACAAAATTGAATAGCCCAGCAAGAATCAAAGGAGGGAAAAAAGGAACAGAATCAGTCACAAGTTTCTAATTTTATTTTAACAATCTTGCTTTTTAAAAAATACAAGTTCTGATTAATGCCAGGGGGATGCCAAGTGTCCATCAGCCACAGGCCTTATCTCTCACTTCCATTTCCCCTCCTGGGAGTAGTCATCTCTTTTGTCAGGATAGCAAACAAAGAGCAGTAAAATGCTAAATAACGGAGTTGTGTAACAGAATCCCAAGGGACCTGTGTCTTAGTATGGCACAAATTCGTTCAGCAAAGTGTTACTGACCTGGACCAGTAATTTAATGTTGGCACAATGTACAGGAGTTGTGCAAGGTGCATCAGGAGAGGTATTGTTTGCACTTTCGTGGTACCACCAGCTCTCTTCTGCAAACAGAAAGGTTTAAGTGGAAGCAAGAGCTCAGTTACCAAAGAGGAGGGAATTCAAGAGGAGGAGCAGGTTTATAAACAAGACATTGAAGATCTTTAAATGTTTTTTTTTCATAGTAAGTAATTGCAGGAGCAGCAGAGCTGCCCTTTTAGTTGCAAGGGGGCTTCTGTGTAGGCAACTACAAGAGCTTTAACACTCTCCAAACAGCACATTTCCTAACAACCTAGAAACCATGGCACCACAAACAACTTTTTCTACAAAGGAATTCTATGCAACACAAGTGTCATTTTGCAGGGTTATGTGTCCCAGGCAACCTTTTCATCCATGGAAAAATCTGAACTGTGAGTTCACTGCCAATGGGTTAAATATGCCATGGCCAGATAAATTTCAAATATGCCATTTTTCTCAATAACATCCTAACTGGAAAAAGGCACTCACTTTTGAAACAGCAACTTTGTTATGGGCTAGGAGGGGGTACTGAAGTAAGACTCATTAATAATTGTGCTGTGATTCTTTTGATGTCTCAACTATGCTTATGCTTCAGTGTATTAGGGATTAGCACTTTGGTGCTATTGGGAACTTGGCCATAGGAGCAGCCAAACCTATTTGATGATGAAAATAATTTTTTTTTTCCTTCAGCTTCTTTTTTTGCAAAGTTGGTTGGGGATTTTTTTTTCCTTCAGCTGTTTGACTGAAGAATGGAGTAGTCCTAGGTTCAGGTATCACCTTATTCTCTCTTGAATAATTATTTCTGAGCTTCTACTATCTATTTAATGCTGAAAAAGGAAGGTGCAAGGAAACAAATATCTGTACAAGCATAATACGCCTGTAATTACACCTTCTTTGGCCAGGAACTTAGCATCCCCTCAACACATTTCACATCACATAGGAAAAGTTCACAGTACCAAGTTTTACAATCACAGTCACTCACAGCACCAAGATTGTCCAGACAAGAAGAAGTTACCGAAGAGAAAGGCCACTGGCCAAAATTCACACAACTGCCCACGTAAGGGCTCAGGTTAAAAATAAAGCACTGGTGGGAAAGGTAAGCCTAGCTTTTGCCAGCTCTCCATTTGGCATGAGGAGAGCAGCGAGTCACCCATCCTAGCTGCACTTCTGAACAGAACAGCACTATTGACCCATCTTTTCTAGGGGCTTTTCCAGCCCCTCAAAACCCATCAGCCACCGAGAGCTGGGGGAGAAGAGCCCCATGGCAGCCCCACTTTCTGCCTCTGGGAGCTGGGAGTTACCAGACTGTAAACATTTTGTTGTAGCAGTCCACCGGAGCAGGCAGTTGATCCCACTCTGTGACAAGGAAGGTGGGACAGAGGCTCTGAAGCCCAAGCCCTGAAGGAAAGAATAAATGTGTGTGCGGAAGAAGTCTGGGCTGCACCTGCAGTCCCGCTGTGGGTAGCAGTTGGTTGTGCTTTATTTCCCCTTCCCATCAGGACAGCTTGAAAAAAAGAAAAAAAAAAAAAAAAAAAAAAACGGTTGTTCTTCACAATTATTGCAGCCTTGCTCAGATAACAAAACATAAGCCTGGGAGGGGCAAAGTCCTTCCTCCGAACGTGGTCTGTGTGCTCCTCCTTCCATGGGGCTGGTATCAGGAGCAGCGGCAGCCAGGCAGAAGAGCAGGCCTTAACCCCACCCAACATTCATGGAGCTTTAAAACCAAAGAAAACTGTGTTCCTATGAGAGGTTACTAACAATTTTTCCCCACCTCCCCTAAACCACATGCACACAGAGGACAGGATGCTGATACGTGGGCTTTCACCAAAGCTCGAGGGCTCCTGCAGCACTTTGCTTGCTGTGCTGAAATGTTTGGTTCGCTGAGCATGGAGCCCACCCCGAGCAGTGCCAGCGTCCTCTGCTCTGCCCTTGGAGAGGGGGCACTTTGCAGGCTTAGCCCCAGCTCTGCTCTCTCAAGCAGGCATGGAAGGGGGCCGGAGGAAATTTTCCAGCCTTTCTGGCTGTGTAAAGGAAGACCCTACGCTCCGTGTAAAAGAAAACCAACGCTGATCCCGTAAACATGCATATTCACAGAGAAATGAGAGCCCCAGCACCTGGGGATGCCAGCAGGAGGCTGCTGTAAACCCTGTTCTCACCAGAAATAAATGTCTTGGTGGTTATGAAATGGGGCCTAAGCCCTGGTTTGTGTCCATGCCAGACTGGTTTCTTTAGCATGTGAAGTCAATGTAAGATGCAAAAGGTTGAAGCACAGAGGTAGACATTTTGGCTAGGAGAAGGTGGCTCATGGGCTTGAAGTGACCAAGTGGCCAGCGTGCTTCCAGAGGTTCCTTAGCTGGTACACAAAGGCCTGGGAAACACAGGCAGCAGCTTTGCAAGACCTAGGGAAACCAAAGCCTGCTTCCTTCTGTCCTTCCCGTACCTGGAGGCAACAGCTGCTGGTCAGGCTCCTCTTGCATCTCATTACTGTGGTCAGCAGGAGTTCTTAAAGGAGGGGACAAAATGCACTGGTCCCTCTTGAGGATGAAAAGGAAAAACTGAGCCTTTTCGGTGACAAAGCAACACAATGTCCTGGGAGGGGGGGGATGAGTGAGACCCTCCAGTCAGTGGAGATGCAGAAGCACTAGAAGAAGTCTTGTCATGAAGGACAGGTGCATTTTCTGGGGACAAGTGTCATCCGTAGGCTCCTGCAGGTAGTCGGGTTTGTGCGGAGCTTCCGCTGCTGGATTTGTCCATAGGGAAGGGAGGAGGGGAACGAGAGTCTGGCAGGGAAACCCACGTCCCCTTCCCCTGCTCGGCCACGGCAGAGGGAACCTGAGCAGAACGCAGAGACAGAGACTCTGCCGGGAGCGGGCCCGGGGGGCTCAGCCCTGGGCGGTGACCGCCAAGGCGTTCACGTACCCGTGGGGCCCCACGTCCACGTCGGAGAGCCCGTGGGCCAGCGGGGCGGCGGCGGGGGCGGCGGCGGCCGGGCCGTACTTGGCGGGCGGCGGGGCGGCGGCGGGGCGGAGGAGGCAGCAGGTCTCCAGCGCCTCCAGGCCGCGGCAGGTCAGGAAGAAGAGGTTCTTCAGCATGAAGAGGGACAGCGGCTGCTGGTAGCGCAGGAGCAGGAGGCAGCGCAGCGCCAGCAGCGGCGCGTCCAGCAGCCCGGCGGGCAGCAGGAGGTGCAGGGCCAGGCGGGCGGCGCCGGGCGGGCGGGCGGCGCTGAGCTCGTACAGCCACAGCACCGGCGAGGCCAGGCAGAGGAAGTAGACGGCGATGAGCAGGTAGCGCAGCGGGGCGGGCAGCGGCGCCGGCCGCCCGGGCTGCAACACCAGCTCCAGCAGGGAGAAGCTGTCGAGCAGGTCGAGGCAGGTGGCGAGGAAGGCGGCGGCGGCGCGGTGCTGCGGCGGCGGCTGCGGCGGCAGGAGCAGCTGCCCGGCGCCCTCGGTGCCGATGGCCCGCAGCAGGCAGTACAGCAGCGGCGCGGAGAGCGCCAGGGTGATGCGGAAGCCGGTGGTGCCCAGCGGCAGGCGCAGCTCGATCAGCTCCAGGATGGAGGTGCCCAGGATCAGCGCCGCCTTGGGCGTGAAGGCGATGGAGTAGATGAGCCAGGCGAGGTGCGCGTAGGCGAAGTCGCCGCCGCGCGGGGGGACCCCGGCCCCGCGGCCCCCGGCCCCGCGGCCGCCGGG